CGTGCAGGTCACCGCAACGCACGCAGGCTGGCGGGCGGTGGCAACCCAGGCTGGAGTGGCGGAACCCCTGGCAGCGGTGACACTGCGCGGGGGTCTTCTTCCCTCTCCAGGCCTCGATTTGGATGTCTGGTATATACAGGAGCTCCCTCACTGTATATATCTTCGAGATCGTGTCAGGTGTCGGCTTCAACGCGGCGAAAAACAGGCTACCGGCGCGGCCTGCTCGCGCCGGGATCTGCTTGCAATATTCCACTGTGTGACCCTTTTCTCCAAGGGCCGCGGTGACATCTTGAGGCGTAGTGTGCAAGGGCAGCCCTCTGATGGCCACCTTGATGCTGCGGTCTTCGGGGCGAGCGTGCGAGTACCAGCTCAGCCCGCTCGCTCCCTTGAGGTTGTTCAGGTAGTTTGTTACGTCGTTGCTCTCATTGTCGTCCTTCGGCAGGAACCGCACACCCGTGCCAAACGGGCGTACGCTTGGAGGGCGACCGAGTGCGTCGTGTAGGGCGCGCATGTGCGTGGGCCAGTCCGGCAGCCTCTCGACCACGATGGGCGGGCATTTGCGTTCCCGCTGCGTTGTGGGAGCGCCGTCGGAGGGTGGTTGCGCTTTCTGTGCGGTGGTGGGAGGTGCGGCGGTGGTGGGGGAATTTTCTGCGGCGAGGTGGGTAGTCGCAGAAATTCCGGTTGCTTGAGCGTAGCTTACCGACTGCGTCGGTAAAGCAGTCGGTTGATGTTCTTGAGCTGCGGGGGTGGCTTCTTGCGTCGGTGTCGGGTCCGGGTCCTCTCTCTGGACGACTAGATGCTCCGGTGAAGGGGTGTCGCCCACGCTGAGGGATCGGTGGGGGCGCAAGCCGCGCGGACCTTCCGGACGGGGGCGTCTCTCCTTCATCTGTTGTGGCTTCGTTTGTATGGGTATGCCGTAGTATTTCTTGGCTGGCGGGATCGTGAGGGTCTGGAAGCGCAGCGTTGAGTTGCATGCCTGGATGGTTCCCGCATCATCTGGGCCGTGGTTGGTAGCGGAGCTCGGGTCGTATTCCAGGAGGCGTACGAAACTCCAGAGCCATAGTGCCATTCTGGGCGAAAGTAGGCCGGAGTCGATGAGTCGACACGCCATCACCGCGTCAAACTCATATTGAGCGCGGGTCGACTTTGTGTCGATCATGTCGGCCACAAAGAGAGCCTTGGTCTGGGCCAAGGAGGCTTCCTCTGGGATGTGGATCCTCGGTACTCCGAAGTCCATGTTGGTGTTGCGTGTTGTAGGGGCTACGCCGGCGCGAACCTGGCCGAGCAGCGCCTTGCGGCGCGCTCAGGCCTGCAGCTGGGTGCGCGGCAGTCTCCGCTGACACAGGATGGTGCCAGGCTATCTCTCGGACGAAAAAACTTCAATTTTTTTCCCCGGAGATATGTGGGTAGTTAGGGCTCCGTGCGCTGTAGGCGTAGATTGCGGTCCTCGGTCCCTTGAGCTTCGGTCGAGTGTTTATACCACCAGCGAGAAATGAGTAAGGGCGTATATGAGATGCATTTTCAGCCTTATATTACTGATGCTAGAAAGATTCCATATGGATAACAACGTTCGCCACGTAAATACGATCAAGATTTATATGAGATTTAGTCTCGACTGCCGAACGACACACAATGTAGAATGTAGGAAATCGTGAGCGAGAGTTGGAAGGCGGTGCGCAAGCTTTTGAACACCGCACAGATGTTGCTCAACATTATATGACTTGTGCTATGCTCCGTGCCTCACTCTTTTTTTTAAATAGAGCAATTTGAGCCACAAGCTACTCTCATTATTTTATATGGTATGAAACTAATAAATTTATTATGTTATAGGAAATGGTTTTTTCATAAAAAAAATACTCGCAGCCGACAAAATACTCCCTTGAATGAATATTTCATTATCGGGTTGTTCACGCTGGAAACAGTCAAGTTTCTGGGTGCAACAATTAACCCAGATCCTAAAATATAATATGGAATAGCAGATGCTCATAATATAAGCCGTACGAACTTAAACGAGTATGTATATTCATATGACTGATCGTAATTACGTCAGCCGTCGAAACGACTGAGAGCTTATGTATAACCTATCTTTTACTATATTTTAAAGGTAGGTTCATCATAAAAATAGGTATATTTTTAAGTGTTTAAACTTTTTATATTTAGCTTCATCTGTGGATAGTGACCCATGTATTCTACTCACTTCTTCTCGCTTGATTACTGTTAACATAGGTAATTATTACCTTTGTTTCGCGAATAGAAATATAAGCTTAATTACATAATGTGGTAGATGCCTCGCCAATATGGCCACGACAACTTTATAATGCGTCATCCATCACAACATTCCAGTCCCTTTAAATTCACTAATGCAAACAACTTAATTAAACTGGCAATTATTAGACGCACATTAAGTTGATGCTTATTAATAGTTTATGACTTCACTTAAAAACTTATTTGTAGCGAAGCATGGTAATTCGAATTCAGTTAGTATCTGTAACGCTTTTTTCTTTGTCTAATAAAATACTACTAATATTATAAATGTGAAAGTTAGTATGTTTGTTACTCAATGACACAAAAACTACTGAATGGATTTGGATGATATTTGGTACACATGTAGTTTATAACTTGCGGGGCTATTCTGTAAAATTTTCACGCGCGGATCCGATGCGGGATCCGCGAGTTTCCCATATAGATTGGCGCGGAACCGCATCGGATCCGCGCGTGAAAATGTTACAGAATGTAGGCCCTGGATTGAGACATAGGATACTTTTTATCTCAGAAGAGTGTTAGGTTCCTGAGGGATTTATAAAAAACTAAAGTTAAAGCGGACCAAGTCGTGTGTCGTCTAGTAAATATATGTATATTTTTTATTGGCAAAAAGGTTACAAAAGCTATGCCCGCAAAAATATCAACACTTAGCAACTGCTTTCACAAAATATTGTTTTGGTTTGATACTCAGAATAATAGCTGTTTGATCACTCACAAATACGACACACACATGTACAGATTAATTACATATTCTAACTTTAACTGACAATAACTTGTGTCAAGGTTCATTCATTTCATATATCTTTGAACTGAGGTTTAAATCTGATATTATGACGTGGCATCGTAAGGTAGCAGCCGCGGTGAGGTGATGTCACCAATCTACGGAATATCCGCAACAACACGCATCCGATCTCTTACGGTTTAGCGTTCAGCCCACTCACCGTTATACGAATGTCGGATTACAATTTTAGAAGATTTCAAAGATATTTTTAAGGTCGTTTGTGGTCAAATTATGATTCCACCTATGTAACAACATAACATTGTATAGCAATGCATTCCTCACCTACAGCAGAGCGTGAACGTTACTTTTGCAAACTTATTGAAACATACACAGACACACATCAAATTAAGCCACATACATCATTAAGGCAAACTGAAAGTTTTATCAATTGTTATTTTATATTAACGTAATGAAATCTTTAATTTATTCAAACTTTTCATGCTTTAGTCACTAATAAATCATTGGTCATGCTTTAGGCACTTTTTTCGGCATTTGGCAAATCATGCTTTAGTCACTAATAAATTTTAAACAAAATAATATGAGTATTAAAAATAGGTCAAAAGTTTAAAAAAGTTCATGATGCTCAGACTCTTTTGATGAGTATATTATGTTCAATGGTTTGCTATGGTAAAGGAAGTGTTAGAAGAATATAAACATCTCGGCTTCACAACATGAGTGAGTGAACAGGAATCAAGTCAGTAGAAATAGGTTTAGACTAGCTATGGACAAGATCGACTATATCGGAAATAAACTGCCGACCTTCAGTAATGGAAAGGCACTGGAAGTAGAAAAATGTTCTTCATAAAAATAACATTAATGCCAAGGCTTTTTCCATAATATGAATATTAAATAAAAAAAAGATGGCAGGTGATGGCAGTATATTAAAGTTTTATTATTGACATTAACAAAATACTAAACGTAGTATTAACAAAAAATATTATATACATTGGTGAGTACCTACCAACCCATACCTTACCTACCATTCATTATTTTAAAAACCTATTTCACAAATTTTAATTGTATTTCTTTAGCCAGCATATAATCACAAAATCATATAAAATAAAAAGTTTGCCAAGGCTGGTGTGTTCAGTGTGTGTTTTGTGCATTTATGAGAGCTGGCGTGCTGAGAATTCGCGATCATGTACTTTTACTGGCAAATCATTTATATTCCAGGTGAGCAATGCAATAATGTATGGTTGATGTAAAAACCTGACATACTCAGCTTTTTCCACTTTAAACCTTTCAAAACAGTATACAGGTCATTAGCTTTGCTTTTATAAGCAAGCAGTGAAATCTGCAAATCATCAGAGACGTCGGCGCACTAATTATTTCGTAGTAAGAAATACGCACTGAATCTCAACCCGGATTTGACATTGATGCCTTGATTTACCATTTTGTACAAAAGTATAAGTATGGAATAAACGCTGAATTGTATATGAAATGTTTAAGTGTTGCGTCATGCAGCCAATAGTTTATGTACTTCTTCTTCTTAATTTCCTCCTCCGCTTCTGGTAAAAAAATGTTTTTTTTTTACTTATACGAAAAGGTCCAACAAATGATCCACCCCACCTGCAGTGTATTTCTGTAACAATAAACTCACATTTCAGCGCGGAATTCGCCGGTGTTATTTTTCAAATTTAATTCGTATTCTCATTTCAAATTACAACGCGAATTCCTTGGCGAAAAGTGAGTTTGTTTCTACGAAATAGCGCTGCTGATGTTAAATGATGGTGGAGTCTAGATGCGAAGATAGTTCCTGCAGCAGTTTTACCTGGCACACCAGCCGTCCTCACCTTGCCGGCCTGCAAGGTGCTTCTTCACGCCTCTTTTAAAGGATCCTGGGTTACACGAATATGTGAGCGGACAAGGCATTCTGTTTGCGGATAGTGTGTACCAAAAATCTATTGCCTTCTTCGGGTCCGGCTATTTAATATGTGGGTATGTATACAATACGAACCTTCCTCCATAGATCTCATTGGCAAGTGGCGTGAGCTCGTCGTCGGAGTTGTCGCTGCCTTCATCGCGGCGTTTCCCTCCCGACGTCGCCATCTTTGTTTATATTCTGAAATAATAGAAAAAAAATGTTGTAAAAAGTCAAAATTCAATATAGAAAGTTCAAGAGTAGTGAAAATAATTTTATGGTACGAAGAAGTTAATACTAATTAATATAAACAAAATATAACTGTAAGCTATTACTTAGAATTTTTGTTTTGAAAAATATCGAATTCTAAATACGTAAGTAGGTGATTTTTATTCCAACCTAGTTGGTTGCTTCTATGCCACTTTTCATTCGTGGCCATATGTATCAGAGATTACCGTAAAAACAAAAGTGGTATTTCGGTTTTCGTAACGCGAAAGCTTTAGCAAAACAGAACTACCTAGCTAAAGCTTTACGCGTTACGAACTTTAAGACCAGAGTACTGCGAGTACCATAGTTACTATGCGATATTTTATTTTCTGTGTCTTATAAAATTCTTTTAAAGCTTACCCTGATATGCTTTTAAACAATTTCCTAATAACTTAATATAATACCTATTTATAATTTTTCAAAAAACTGCAACATGACAAGAAAAGCTAAGGATGCAAAACCTTAAACTAGACTATAACTATTACTTATTGTTCAATATCTTAAAATATTTTATATCAAAATATTATTTTTTAATAAAAAATTAAGTACATGTTTGCAAAGTATCAATAATATTTTTTAAGTAAAACATAAATATAACCATTTATGTAGTTGAAATTGAAATATTTTCTCACGGAGTAGCTTCGTGACTCAACATCATAATGACAGATAGAGAAAAAACTTTGAGATATCATTTAATTGTTACCGTGTTTTAGCTTAATAGTTACAAAGCTTTATAAATATCCTTGCATATTTTCAAGGAAACAAATACAAAGATGTGCTATTAAACCGAGAGACAGATTTTTGAACTTTTTTGGAATCGAAGATTTAATGTACAAGCAATTATATAGTTATCATTATTTACAAGCAATTTTATTACTGTGCAAAACAAAATGTACAATTAGATAAAAAGACATGTAAACTTTTTTCTGCTTGCTTACAAGCTTTTCGATTCTATTTTTGAAAATATTAATGTGAATTATGCCCCCACAAAGTGCATTCCTGGCCAGTGAACCTCCGACCTTGCAGGTCATTCATCCCTCGTATGCACCAACGCATGCAACAATCCATTCCGATTCCACATTCCTAAATTAACTGCAAATGTTACATAAAGGGTTGCCAACCCTACTATATAATATAGTATCCTACTATATTAGGGGATCAGATACTATATTTCTGAAAAAAAAAATATAGTAGGCGAAACCACTATATTTTGCATAAAGAGGATATTTATCGGTAAAAGCTTTCTTAAAAATAAAAAAAATATTAGTAAGGTACAGAGTAGCAAATAGAGTATTCATTTAAAAACAAAATTAAATATTTGAACCACATAGATACTATTTTTTTTTGCCATCTACTAAATTTTTCGAGGTGACAGCGACGAAAATATGTACCTACTATATTTGATAGACAACAAGTTGGTAACCCTTGTTACATGCAATACGATGTGTAAATAATACTTATTAAATGATATTAATTTTATTACTTTTATATATATTTAAAATGAGACTATGTAATATTGTAGTATATAAAACGTTTTACCAGGATACTAATTGAACCCTATTGAGGTATTATTATCTTCATTTTTATGTGTCATAATTGTACGCATTTTTGCTCTTCATTAATACAGTAACAAGATATATAAGTATAAAAAAACACGCGTGATATACGAGTGCATATTCCTAACATGACGCATCTGCGTTAAGCAAAGGTCCTATGATGTGGTAGATTCTCAATAATATAAGTTCACAGAAATGAACAAGAAATATTTATGTCTGCATCAGGTAAAGAAATCCATAGGCACTGAACCTTTATTTTATTTGGTTGTATCGTTGTAATGGCTTTTGCATCCTTAACTGAAAGGGCATAGTCACATGCTCTACGCGTGAATGTCATTGTAAATGACCATCTAGCCTAAATAGTGAACCAACTTGTTTATTTATTTATTTATTTGAACTTCATTGCCATACATATGCAAACGGCGAACTTAATGCCATAGGCATTCTCTACCAGTCAACCTGAACGAGTGTTAGAGACAAATGGTATGGCGATAGGGCAAAATACATTATAATAAAACATTAAGAAAATAACAACGATTAAAATATATTAATACTTTTATACTAAATTTGATACACCTACATAAACTACTCAAATAAAATACATAAACAAATATGAACATACATAAAATACAACTATTTAAGTTGTTTTCTAAAAGAAGAGATGTGGTTGTATTTACGTAACCCAAAGACAAAGCGAATACCGCTGTTGAGCAAACGATCCAATTTGATAAGAAGGTTTTGATTGATGTCAGAATAGCAGATGTCAGCGTAGTCGAGGATCGAAAGAATAAGAACGGTTTACATCGGGCAATGATAAATAATTATTCTAGATTTAACGACCGTGTTGAATTTTGTTTAGATTGAAACACCTTTTTTTTATTTTTTTTTAACGCAGGTAAAAAATCTTTTTACAGAAACACTTTTTTACTAGTTTATACTTTTTTTTAGATTGAAACACTTAGCAGTAAAATGGTTGTAATAACGTAAACATACTAGATCTGGTGTAAATATTAATTGACAATATAGGCTGTTTTAAACGAGAGCTTACGTCAATCTTCTTATAAAAATATTTTTTACGGTTCCGTACCTCAATAGGCAAATCACTCGGTTGTCTGTCTATCACATCCGATGTGCTCGGAATGTGCTGAACCGATTAAGTTGAATATGGATGTCATTTTTGGAGGGTGAATAAGACAATTAAAATTTAGCTAACTGTACCGTGTTATGAATCAAATGAAAGCGCTCAATGTGACGGTTTCAAACATATGTTTTACAAATGTAAAATGACTAGTTTAAAAGTTATTTTTGTAAGTAGACCTGTTTCCTCACCCTTATGGCGCGATTACACTTTGTTGTTAGCCCGAATACGAGTGCCAATAGAATTCGGGTAAAGCACTAAGTGTAAACGTACGGAGTCTAATACGCCCGTATTCGGGTAGTTTTCGTTTTGGTTTGGACACCGTCTTCCAGCCCGTATTTCAGTGTAAATATTGCTACGGGTGCCCGAATTCGGTAATGTCTTTCGTGCACCCGAATACGGGCTAACGACCAAGTGTGATTGAGCCATAATATCCAAAACTGCTGTATCTAAAAATTTAAAATATTTATGAAATGAAACTCTTTGCTTTCAGATTATAAGAAAACCTATATAAAGTTTGTAGTAATATATTATAATATTTAAGAGGGACTCCCATAAAACAGGCGTGATTTTTGCCGTTCTTTGCTCGTTATTACAATAAAGTGTCTAATAAGGTATAGATAATAGTACGAAACCCTTCGCGAGCGAGCCCGACTCGTACTTGGCCGGTTTTTAATCATTAAACTGCAAAATTTTCTAAATATTCAAAGAAAAAATTACCTAAGTACTAGAAAAAACCAACCTGACACAGCTATCAGGCCATTCTGTTTTGTAAAATTGTCTTTAGTTAATTGTAGTCTTCCCCAAGAAAAGCCACTTTATATTAAAATGGCGGCTGTGGTGTGCAGGTACAGTTTATTTAAATGATTATAATTTTAAAGAAATTTAAGTTTTTCATAAATCTTCTGCAAGATGACTGGTCATATTTCTTATGCGTAAGTAAATACTCCCCTTACAAATTTTTCATTATACGTTGTAGTAAATACAAACTATTAATCGTGTGTACATAGTTCAAGACTCTGGGCCTTGGCTGCCCAAGGTCAGCGACTCCCGAGTCTCCGACCTACTGGACAATCGCCTCGCCTGCGCCTCCATTGTGCTGTAGCATAATGGACAATACTTGCCTCAAATACACCCTACATTGATCTCATATATAAGACTACAATTGAATTTGGTATAGGATTAATATTCACATGATCTTGTTTGAACAAAATATACGAAATGTAAGTACACACAGACAATCGTTCAGAACTAAAGCCCAAATTGCTTGTGTAAATCAAATCACACAACTTTCATATTGCATTTAGCTACTGGTTAATCTTTTTAGTAAAGTTGATTGCATTGTCGATAAATTCAATATTAGGTCTTGATGTACATTTATTATTATTTTAATTATGATATGGCTTTGTAGTGTCGTTTTGTGTCGTCATCGTCTTATTACTTAAATTACCAATAACATCACTGGGGTGTAATTCAGTCATAAACCTATATATATAAATATTGCATAACGAAGGAAAATGAGATAACATCGAAAAGGAAAATTGTATTGAAAGTCCCTTAGTCTTAAATAAAATCTTCTTCATATAGCTTTCATGTGCGAGCTAAGTAGGTGGGTATTACGCATTTTAGCATTGACAATACTTAAAGTTACTAATTAATCGAAATGTTCTTGTCACATAGTCGAATTATTAAAAAATTCAATACATTTTTCGGAAAACCTTTTCTTAACATTAGCGTAAAAGATTGCAAATGTTTAGAAATACTCAGTAGTGAGGTGAAAGTCAGAAAGCTATGGCTTAATCGATCATTTCTTGATTGATTGGCCAATGTATGACCTTTTAAGTACGGAGCAAAAACTGTAAAAGTATCTTGCTATTTTATTGGAACGAAAGTTCCTTACGGCAGGCTTGGAGGGGATAGGGATTTTGCTGCGCGACCGAACTGAAAAAAATGTGATAGTAAAACCGTAAGAAAAAATGCGTGGAATAAAACCGTTAAATGAGACGTGCGCAGGCGCGACGAAGTTCCTTACGGCAGGCTTGGAGGGGATAGGGATTTTGCTGCGCGACCGAACTGAAAAAAATGTGAAAGTAAAACCGTAAGAAAAAATGCGTGGAATAAAACCATTAAATGAGACGTGCGCATAGGGGGTGGTAGAGCGACGAGGGTGCATCACTGAAATATTGTGATACTACACCAACAGTGAATATGTGTGAAGTTATAGGGGGTGGTAGAGCGAC